TGTTATTTGGTACAATGAAAGAGGGCCTAGGCAGGAATAAAATACAGATGGGCATGAAATCCAAAATTCTCCAAAACATGGTATTTTCTGAGCCACAATACAAGAGAGAGAGACAGAAAGGTGGCTGACTTCACATTGCAGCAAATAGATATTGAGGTGAGAAAAGTAGTAAGAACGGAGTAAGAATGGCAAAGGTGCAGCGGCAGGGATGCTCGCTCCTGTTCTCCCCCTGTAACTCCAGGAGAAATGAAATGGGAAGACCAGACCTGGTGAATCAAGGATCAATTTCACTTAGGGAAAGAAGTGCATTTTGGTCTCAAATCTGAGGAGACTGCAACTTATTTATTTACTGACTCAGTAACCAGAACAGACAAGAGTCAAGACACGCCGCACTGAGGGGAAGTTACTTACAAGCCTTCCCTGAAGCCATCAATCAATGCTTGGAAAAGGGGCTTGTTGTGGGGAATTGTCTGGAGGATATTTCCATCCGCCGTCACATAACCGATCGCCCACTGGCCGAGTCGTGTGCAGCTCAGGCGGAAAATGTAACTGGAAACAACAACAAAAATTATAAACCAACAGGACAAATTTGCTCACTGAATTATTTACAGATACAGCCTGTTTTTCTTTAAGATGGAACAACTGAGCAACACTTAGCTTTCTTGTCAAGCTTTCCACATTAGTTTGACCTACAATCTGAAGCGAGAAACCTATGGCCAGGTAAAAAATTCAAAAATCTCCTTCAGATCACTGCTAAGCTACCTGTCGTTTCCTTGATGTTGCCAGTTAGCCTGAGATTATATGAACCTTATATATTTCTGAAAGGAAGGCCGAGGATTCAGGTAAGTAGCAAAAGAAAGCAAATAATCTTGTCCTAAGACAAAAAAAGACACAGAATTGTAGAGCTGGTTACAGGGACTTAGATTTCAAGCTGTGTCCAAAGAGAAGATCATTTTTCCTAAAGATTAACAACCAGAAAGGGGATTTTCACCAATTCTTTAACAACTTGATTTTACAGTCAAGGCTTACGAGGCTTGATTCAATGCTTCTTTCCTTAAGCTTAGATCTCCAGCAGTAACAACACCTGTACATTGTGATGTCTGAGAGTGATATCATATGTCCTTTCAGCGAGTGCAGTCTATAAGACAGAATGAATGCAAAGGGCTTTTAAAGGCTTGAGGAAGGGACACACTCACCTCCCAGGCTTGTGAATGAATTTCTGAAGTCGCGCTTTGACCTCATCGTACGTCAGGAATGCCATGTAACCGGGATGGGTCACGGCAAGGCTATTCCAGTTCCTGAGCAAAGATGACCACGGCTAAAGAAAAAGAACATGATGAAGTACTTAGGCATTTCAAAAGCCTTCCTATCATGACCCTTCCACCTTTCAGCATCCTATTTCTCATGCTGAAAGGTCCAACATAGGTTTACCGACTAATAATAATAATAAACTTTATTTGTATACCGCCCTATCTCCCCAAAGGGACTCAGGGCATTTTCCAGCATATAAGGCAAACATTCAAGAGCCAAAAAGAAAACCATACAGACTAATTACATCAAGACAAGCACATAAGACAATATAAAACAACCTAATTTAACTTAATAAACATAAAAAGCATCATAAAATACAAAAATCTTTCTAAAAAACCACTAAAAATAAAAAATTAAACCAATTGCATTGTGGCCTCATCAGGCAAGGTTCAACAAACCAATGGCCAGGATTACAAAATGGACGTGTCTAAAAGGGCTGGGCAAGGGATAATGCAAACAGTGTATCATAGGGTCGGGGAAGTGGATGAAGTGCAGGACAGAGTACTATTTGGCGACCTAGGGACTGGGTATAGGGACAAATCATCCAGGCTTTCAGATCCCTACAAAAGGAGGACAGTGTGAGGGCTTGCCTAATCTCTTTTGGAGGGTGTTCCAAAGTTGGGCAGCCACCACCGAGAAGGCCCTCTCCCTTGTCCCCACCAATCAAGCTAAGTCCACACAGGGTTTTGACTTGCAGTACTCAGTTTTAGAGCAATGGGCAGGATCATAAGAAACACACACTCCTAGTTTTATATTCCCATCTTGTAGAACAGGGGTTCTCAAACTAAGGCCCGAGGGCCGGATATGGCCCTCCAAGGTGATTTACCCTGACCTCGCTCAGGGTCAACCTAAGTCTGAAACTATCTGAAAGCACCCAACAACAACAATCCTATCTCATCAGCCAAAAGCAGGCCCACACTTCCCATTGAAATACTAATAAGTTTATATTTGTTAAAATTGTTCTTCATTTTAATTATTGTATTGTTTTTAAGTGTTTTTTGCACTAATAATAATAAATAAAACTTTATTTGTACCCCGCTACCATCTCCCCAAGGGACTCGGTGCGGCTTACATGAGGCCAAGTTCACAGCACATCAATAAACAAAAGCAATAACAATAATCAATATAAAACAGTTAAAATAAACTCAATACAGAAAATATACAATAAGTAATAACAATAACAATATCAAAACATACAGCATTTAAAAACCTATGGCCGGGCCAAATGTGATAATTCAAGTTTAAAATTAAAAATTAAAAATGCTGGGCATGAACAAGGTAAGGCATATTAGGATAGGGTTTTCAAAGAAAATGAGGGCGCGCAGACAATCCTAAGTCAATATTAAAGTGCATTTGAGGACATATTGCTCCTCCTAAAGACTGCCAGCGTTGGGGCATGTCTGATGTCCTACAAATAAGATATGTGCAGTGTGCATAGGAATTCATTCATGTTTTTTTCAAATTATAATCCAGCCCTCCACCAGTTTGAGGAACTGTGTCCTGGCCCTCTGTTTAAAAAGTTTGAGGACCCCTGCTGTAGAATAAGTTCATACTATTTTCATGTCAGAGGTTTGCTCATCATGAGTTTACGGTTCAGCTCAGATACGATGCCAGCAAGTCCCAACCCTCGCAATTCTCCTTATGACCCACAGCAACCTCCTCCTCAAAGCCGCCTGAAGGAACAGCTGCCCTTTCAGGCCACCATTTCAAGGTTATTGGTCCAAAGAAGTCTAAAAGGGCAAAGGATGGCCAAGCAAGCATGGCTGACATTTTGGACGAGAAAAAAGTCTTGAGAAGGGAACACAACAGTTAACGTATTGTCTTTTTTTTTTTAAGGTAAGTGATATAACAGCCCCAAAAGTGAAGAAATGATTTCCGTGGGGGAGTCACGTCTGTGTTTGAGCAACCTGGTTTTTCTTGTTCCTTACCTGAAATAGACGAGTGAATATGTCAAACTCAAACACAGAAATGTAATCGTTGCACGTCAAGTCTATAGTTGATTTAAGTGCCATTGCCTCAAGGCCTGAACTTATAGGATGCACTTCATGTAGAGCTGGACGGAAGATCTTCCAGGGAACAATGGTCCTGACGGTGGGAGAAGAAACAGCAGTCCTGAGAAACCTTATGTTCTGTACTTTGCCACAGAAATATTACTCAGTGTTAAATTCAAAATGGATAACATTTCTGATCTGTTCAACACCTGATTCATTTGGCAACTGACTATCTGGATCTATATCTGCAGAGCAGAGAGGCAAAGGGATGCAACAGCCTTTGTTTAAACAACTTTTCCTTGTGTCTAAATTAGCTGCTTCCAGAAATTAAAACCAGTAACAAATTCACTGCTGGAAATAAACAAGCGGCTCGCCCATTCCAGTTTTTACAATGAAAGGGAACCAGTTAAGACATTCACAAATAGCACTTCCCAATACTCTTTTATAGCTTTCCAATGAATATTTTATCAACATAACCTCCATTAAGAAGGAACATATGATTCTGCCTTCCAAGTACACTTAAATCAATCTGTAGAGAAAAACACATCATCACCATCTAACTCCCTGAGGTTTACTACCCTCCTTCTGTTTGTAGCACATTCCAATAAGAGCGATCCAGTGGGAGAACTGATACGCTGGCACAAAATGGTTCATATGTCTAGTACTGGAACTGGAAAAACCAATTTAGCTGTTACTTCTCATTGTCTTTGGAAAGTGACGCATATTTTTTGGAAAAGGTGCTTACTTTTCCCCAAAAGCTTTTCTCCAGAACTCCGCTGCATCTGCCTTTGTGATTCGGAAGTTGTCTCCTTGGAAGAGTCCACTCGGGAAGATGCCTTTGAGTTCTGCCAACATGTGGCTGAAGATCAGGGACAGCTTGGTAAGGTTGCGCCTGCAAAATCACAAAAGGAAATCTGCTGTGAAATGTGACACAAGCGGCCGGAGGCGGTGAGAGAAGCAGGAAGTCAGATTTTCAAGTCACGGTTTGGATCGTTTTTCTGAACAGAAGTCCATCAGTTAGACACTTAGCCCGCAGCACTTTAAAGACTTAGCTTTGACTGAGAAGTCCTTTGTGAACCAGTATCCAGCATAGATAAAGATAAAAGTTTTCCCCTGACATTAAGTCCAGTCGTGTCCGACTTTGGGGGTTGGTGCTCATCTCCATTCCTAAGCCGAAGAGCCGGCATTGTCCATAGACACCTCCAAGGTCATGTGGCCAGCACGACTGCATGGAGCACCATTACCTTCTCACCAGAGCATGTTTTCGAACTGCTAAGTTGACAGAAGCTGGGGCAGGCAGCAGAAGCTCACACCACTCCCCAGATTCGAACCTGCAACTTTTCGGTCAACAAGTTTAGCAGCTCAATGGTTTAACCGACTGCATCACCGGGGGCTCCAGTATTCAGCATATTGCTAGATATACAATGCAAAGATTTTAAAACTCAAATGCATGTAGGAACACAGGGTTTTATGAAGTGCTTTTGGTTACCTTTTACCCTCGTTCTCCATACTGCCAGACTCAGGGGATGTTTGCATATCATTTGGAAGTCACCCATAGGTTAATAGCATATTTCTCCAATTCTAAGACACATTTTTCCTCTGTATAAATATCTCTAAAAATGGGGTGTATCTTAGAATTGCAGGTGTATATTTTTTGTTACTTATTTATTATTATTTTCTAATTTTTACTGATACGTCCATTCAATTAACAAACTTTTTCCATACAAGTCTTATCTCGATATTCCAAAAGTCGCTTTACCTTAAATGACGCTTTATATATTCCTTAGATGTTTATCACCCATTACCAGTGCCCTCCCTCCAATTTATTTATTTATTTATTCAGCACATTTCTACCCCGCCCTTCTCAACCCCCAAGGGGGGACTCAGGGCGGCTTACAAAAGGCACAATTCGATGCCAGCATAAACATTAAGATAAAAAGATAAAAACATATATAAACAGCGATTATAAACAGTTAAAACAATCAATTAAACACCACAATCAGTAAAACCAATAAACCAATCTTATGCTCAACGTTTGCCAGCTCAGAGTCCGCAAATTCATTCCACATTGTCAAATTCTATTAATTCTGGTTGTCATCGTCCTTTGTCTATCTGCCAGATTAACCAAAAGCCTGGTCCCATATTCACGTTTTTAATTTCCTTCCAAAAGAGAGGAGGGATGTCGATGACCTAATTTCCCCAGGGAGTGAATTCCACAGGTGAGGGGCCACCACCGAGAAGGCCCGGCTCCTCGTCCCACCAATCTCACTTGTGATAGAGGTGGGGCCGAGAGCAGGGCCTACCCAGAAGATCTTAGACTCTGAGGCGGGACGTAGAGGGAGATGCGTTCGGACAGATACACTGGGCCGGAGCCATATAGGGTTTTGTAGGTCTAAACCAGCACCATTCTCCCCCTCCCTCCTGGAACAGCAATTCCAAATTATGTCATTGCATCAATTTAACTGTGTGGAAAGCCTGGTTAAAATGCTATTATCTATCATCTCCATCTGTTGTCATTTAGAATAGACCATTTCCTATATCAGTCTTGTTTCGCACGACTATTCATATACTTGTTTCTCCTTTGATTAATGAAATCATTGATTATTTATTCTGAGGGACAAGACCACCAAGTTTCCAAACTTATCTTAATCACAGGTGTATCTTAAGTATTTTTGTGATGGAGGTGGTACTGAAATTAAGGTGCACCTTACAATCGAAGAAATCCAGTAAGACAAATACGCTCTTATTTTTCAGTGAACCAATTAAGCAAAAAGAGGAATTTAAGTTCAAGGAAGGAAAGGTGGAAAGCCCTTCCCTTCTGCAAATCTGAAGCTAGCAAAAAAAAAAAAAAAACACAAGTGAAAGATCTGGCCATATTGTAAACAGAGAGATGGAACAGAACAGAATGCCTTCAAACCACCAGAAGTGATTTGCCTTCCAGGCCAAGTCTAGTATTCTGCTAGGCGACTCTCTCCTTACAAGGAAGCTTCTGCTTGTCTCTCTGTTCCTGTCTTGGGACCTGAATGCACAAAGCTATTCATAAAGAGCAACAATTATTGCCTACTACACATTTATTTTCATGTTCTGAGCTACAGGGGCTATTTTCAAACATCACAGACAATGCTTCTTAAAAAGAAAAGCAAAAATTCGGAGTTTAAGTCAATTATGATACAAGTCACAGTAAAACTAACAAGGTCAGCATCCCACATGGGCTTCCCTTCAACACGTTCAGCAACAGCTACAAAAAGCCAGCTGCTGCTTTGTATCTTGTCACTGATCTTTAGCACAGCAGCAGGACAAGCAATTGGCTGCTCTCTAATCTTTGGTGCCAGACTACAGCTCACATCTAATCACACCAAACAGGTTTCACCCTTGACGCCTTTAACTTTTCCCCCTATCTTTCTCCCTATTAAGACGTGAGAAGAGGTCAACTCAGTAGCGTGCTTTGATAAGTGAATGCTCCAAGGCTGCGAGGAACAAAGTGCCTTGTTTCATACTCCCTTTTTTAGGGGGAGAAGAGAGGAGGGATTCTCAAACTTAGATGGCCAAGTTCCCAAAATATCCCCTCCCACGCATGCAAACACACACACTCGCTATTCAACCGGCAAGGCTTTCTCTGACGAAGCCACAAAAGGGACTCATAACATAGAAGGCAAGGCTTTCTGAAACCAACACAACTCATTTCGCACTCTGTAATTTGCCTGTGTGGTGCTCAGGGATGCTTTTACTTGTCATCATATAAAATCGTGCCTTCCTGGTTTGCTGAACACTTTGCATGACAGAAGACAAGAACAGTCTGTATGCAGCATGCAACTTTAATATCTATGCATTTGTGAAGGCACACGTTGCTGCATATTACTATGCACCCACATTTCAATTTTGGCCCTCAATTTCCTTGGCTCAAGCATTGTGGTTTGATCTTCTGTCTCTTCTTCTTGCTGAAGTGATACGAGTTGGACAAGACAACTATTCTCGTCTTTTAGTGGTTCTCCTGTGTATGCTTCCATATACCTCCTCGTCAGTTTTTAGAAAATGCTTATTATATTTGGATAATTTTGAGCTCTCTGGAATCTACAAGTGCTCAATGCTGAAATCTAATCGTTAGTCCCACTGAATCAATGGGAATTTGATAATATCAACATTCAGTTAGATTCCTTTGATTTCCTGGATCAAACTTTAAAGTTCTATTACCGCATGTACTCTAGTCCAGTGGTTCCAACCCATGGTCTGTGAGAGCTAAAATATGGTCCACAAAGTCCCATACCTTCCCACCTTTCTTCCTTGCCTCCCTCCTTACTTCCCTCTTTCCCTCCTTGCTCCCTTACTTCTTTCCTCCTTCCCTTCCTCTCTCCCTCTCCCTTCCTCTTTCTCTCAGCCCTGTCCCTTCCTCCTTTTCTTCCTTTCCTCCCTCCTTGCTTCCCTCCTTCCTTTTCTTCCTTCTCTCTACTTCCTTGCTCCCTTTTTTCCTTCCTCTCTCCCTCCCTTCCTTTTTTCCTTGCCTCCCTCCTTCCTTTTCTTCCTTTTCTCCCTCCCTCCTTTCCTTCTTTTCTTCCTCTCTCCCCCTTCCTTTCTCCCTATCTCTTCCTCCCTTTCTTCTTTGCCTCCCTCCTTGCTTCCTTCCTTTCTTCCCTTTCTTCCTCCAGCCTTCCKTCCCTTCTTGCTTGTCTCCCTCCTRCCTTGTTCTTTTCTACCTTCCTTCCCTTCCTCTCTCTCCCTCGCTCAGTCCCATCCCTTCCTCCCCTTCTTCCTTGTCTCCCTCATTCTTTTTTCTCCCTCCCTCCCTCCTTCCTTACTCCCTTCCTTCTTTCCTTCCTCACTCTCCCTTCCTCCCTCCCTCAGTTTCATCCCTTCCTCCCTTTCTTCCTTGCCTCCCTCCTTGCTTCTTTTCTTCCTTCCTCCCTCGCTTCCTTCCTTCCCTCCCCCCCCCCTCATTTCTCCCTCCTTCCTGCTTCCTTGAGTAACAATATTAGCCCCGGTATTACCCAACTTGTAAAGAAGATGCAAGGTCAAAAATCACATTGATTAAAACCAAATTTAATTTTCTGTTAAAATGCTCTTTTTATATTGCAGCAATACTCTTAATTCATGTTACTATTAAGTTTTTACCAATATGTTAAAAGTTTGGATTAAAGTTTATTTTTAGATTAACACAGTTTATTATTCTTGAACCTTGTGGCCCCTGCTAACAGCAAAAAATCAAAGAGATCCCTGGTCAAAAAAAAGTTGGAAACCACTGCTCTAGTCCAATTAGCCATCAAACCTAAAGTAAACCTCAATTTTCAAAACCCTTAAAGCAAGAAAAAGGATTTGCTGGCTATTGCAATGCGCAGAGGCAAAAAAAAAGTACACTCTTGTAATTTGGCCAAAAAAAGTGTGCATCACAACTCCTACATGCTTGTAATTCCTTCTTTAAAAAGAAAAGAGTTAGGATACCAAAGTTTCTAACAACAGAAATGAAAATGTTGTGGTGCATCTATGCTGCAGAATGAATCCACTTTTAACTGCCCTCACTCAGCTTTCTCTGCCAAAGAATGCTGGTGGCTCACCAAACTACAAATCCCAGGACAGCATAGCACTGAGTCATGGAAATTAAACTTAAGGTGACGTCCTTCAAATAGGAACTCCAGGCATTCCAGAAGCAGCTTCCCCTTTTGCTTTGGCTGTACACTAAGATTACCATATTACACAAATCTAATGAGCACACAAATTTTGGTAAAGTAATTTAGCTTAAAAGGATGAGCATTAGATTTGAGTAAATATGACAAGTTGATGGATAGAATTCAAGGCCATGGATTTCCATCTCCTTGTCTTCAAAGAATTAGATGAAATTGAACAGGACTAGAGAACTTAGGATTCTTGGTGTGTTCCTGCTGTTCTCTCTCCATGCCATCC